GTGTCCCAGCCTAGCTCCTCCAATTTTGCACGGGTCTCTTTACCTATGTGAGGCCTAGCGTTGTCATGGAGGAGGTGCACAAAAGTTCGTCTAGGCCGTTTTTCTCGAACGGCTTCCGCAAGTTTCTGCAGCTAACCAGCGTAATAGGGAGCGGTGACGGTGTGTCGGCGGCTGTTCTTCTCGCGGAAGCCAGCTTGTTAGCGTCGTAGAGGATCCAGCTTTCATCTCCAGTAACTAGGTCCTCCAGAAACTCCTTGCGATGTGGGCGGAGAAGGAGAGACTGACAAATGGATACCCGGGTGTACCGCATGCTATCGGTCAAGACATGAGGTATCCATCGAGTCAGCACTTTTCTGTAACCGAGGGCCTGAAGGCGACCGACGACTGTTGATTGGGCACACCCAAGTCTCGTCGCAAGACTGCGGGTGTTAACTTCCGGATCCTCTTTGACGGCGTCGAGAATGACGGAGTCGTCGACGGCGAGGGGGCGTCCCGACCGAGGCTTGTCTTCGAAGTCCGTGTCTCCTTCCTTGCCAGCGATGGACCGTAGCAATGGAAGTGGTGTCCTCCCCCATACGCTGTTGATGTTGCGAACGGTTGCCGTCGCTCCGGTGCCGCGGCGCCACTCGTAGAAGATGATGTATCGAACATGGTCTCGTGGAATTGACATCGTGATTTAAGCTAAAGGAGGAAGCGCGCCTATATATACCCATTACGGAGAAGGTTCTAGAATGTTCTACCACTACCACATGGTAGATCATTGGTATCGATCAAGAATCGAAAGTTCTGGAACTTTCAAAAAACCCTATCAAAACTTTTTAATCAACCTAATAATTGAATAGCACCGATTCATAGAGTCTCCCCTTTTAGAAATGCGCCCATAAATGGCAGTTGTCGGACTAATATTCATGCTCGCACATTTAAGGACGGAGGGAAGCAAAAGTTCAAAAATGCAAATTGTCGAGCTCTGCGGTGATTTGAAGCATCAACCCTACCCTCTCCGATTTACAGTCCTCAATGCCATCCACTAAGCCACCCGATCGTTGCTACTGCATTCCACTCCGATCGTTGAAGAAACCATTCCAAAGAGCCGTTCAGTCTTGATCACGTGCCACAGAGTAAGACCCCATACCTCGACTATTTTTCTCCTTCGATCCGATAGTACCTTTACCTGGTCGAAGTTTCGAGCGGTTTACAGCCCGTAGAGGCTCAAAAACAATCTTTCCATAGATTTCTTTTTCGCTCCTTTTTTTGGCATTCCAGGGGCCGCTCAGCGAAAATGAAGCCCACTTTGTGGTTCATGTGCAAGGCCTACAAAATGCAAAGAACCATCTTGAAAAGGGGGCATGCCCTGAATGACCTCGCTTGTTAATGAATAACGTTGCAGTTGGAGCGCCTTTGTCTACTTCTCACCACGCTTCCTTTCGAAAAAGTAGCTGGCGAAGCTAAGTCTAAGAAGCGAAGAAAAAATTGCTCGTTTGAAAAATGTCAAGCGATTTTGGAGTTATTGTTGTTTTTTTTGGCCGAAGTCTTCACCCTTAACCAGTTCAACCAGCTTTTAGTCGGGGCAACTATCTGATAGCGCTAAAGCGCAAGCCTTTGCTGGATATTTTGAGACGTTCTATTTACAAAGACCTTCGTCATTGCCAGAGGAAAATTGAGGCACTACTACCCCAAATTGTTTCCTCGGTTGGATTGACATTAATTATGAAAACGTTTCTCCTACTCTCAGCAGCATTCCCCTGCTGTATTCTACCTTCCCTAATGGATTTTTCGTACATTTTTTAGGAAGCAGCTTTTGATCTTGCTTCAGCTCTCGCCTATTTATTCAACCGGATAATGTTGAAGGGGAATATTCCTACTGTGCGGCAGCTTGGTTTTGTTCGGCTTGTACATGAAAAAAAAAGGTGATGGAAGAAATGCCAGAAACTAGAGACCTGTAGGTCTCAGATCATCAGTGAGCAAAGTTATGGAATGAATTGTGTTGCCAACTTTGGAGCTTTCTTGTTTCCAACAAACTCATTAGCCCGTGCCAGCAGGTTTCTTGCCCAACTAATCAAGGTCTTCGGTGTTTATGTCAGCAATGCTGTTGATAAGTAAAGGGTCGTTTTTGCAGGGTTCAGTGACTCCTCCAAGACCATTCCATACCAAAATCTTTGATTTCACACAACTTTCACTCTTATTCGAAAAATTGAGACATTACAGAGTTGAAGGCTGCCTCCTTAAATTTCTTGACTCCTGCCTCCTGGACGGAGAGGAAGCTGTTGTACTTAGGGCCAACGTTCTCAATTTTACAGACAGTGGAGTTCCAGGAGGCACTTGCACTGGATCTTTAATGTTCACTCTGTATCTCTATGGCTTAGCAAAAAGTCTGAAACCGGGCTTGCATTGCTTTATGTATGCAGATGACATCAAAATTCTGCACAGGTCAACCCAGCTTGCTACACGAAGTGCTGTATATGAATGGACGGTAAAATGGAAACTTAATATGTTCAGGGGAAAGACAACAACTTCACAGCTCAGCCCTTCTCGCTTGGTGAATACAAAATTTCCGATTGGCGGTGCAGAACTTGAACAATTGGAAAAGGTATGCGATTTTGGGATAACTTATTCTGATTTCCTTTTTTTTTCGAAAATTACATCGAAAAAATCGTGCATTCTGCTGATTGTAGGGTGAATTTCATTTTGCGAGCCTTCTCGACCCGACGAACGGAAACGTTTTTCCTACTTTTTATGCTCGTCCGTTACTGTTACAGAATGCTGCTGCGGTATGGTAGACATCAAGAAAATTCATGACTGAACGCATTTTGAAGGTCCACGCTAAATTTTTTCAAAAACAGAATTTTTGCCCGCTAAGGCGTGTTTCTCTTGTTTCACAAAGGAAGGCTAGCCTTACTAGGCTCCACTGCTTCAAAAATGAGAGTAAGAATGTTTGACTACGAATTCGCCTATAGCTCTCATGGGGATTAGTAGATATCGATTTCGTTCCATTATTCAACAGATCCACAACTACAGGGCGTATTCAAGAACATAACGTCAGAAAAACCTAGGTTAGGGATTTTGAAACTCTTTCACGCAAGCAGTCGTTTCTATCTGCAATGACTTGCCACATGTTGTTGGGAACTCTAACTCAATTGCATCAATTGCATCTCAATTTTGAAGAAAACAAAAAAATAACAGTCGCTCACTTGTTAATCGCGCATGTGGCAGCCGATAATTCAGTTGGTTGATTTATATAAAAACAGAGACGGGAACTGCAAATTGATCGTTACAAGATTGAGAGGTTTTGTTGCTCACACTCCTCTTTCTAGTTTTATTGCCCGATCATTGTTGCGGTTCACATAGCAATTCAGGCACTGGCATGTTCTATTATGTTTTCTCTCTGCATTCGATCCCCCGATGTCGACACGTGGGTCTTGGTGGAATTCGCGGGCCTAACGATCTGGAGTCCGGAGCCCTTTGATGCCTGATGCGACTTGCAGTGTTGGCGGGCCAGTGCTCCTCACCACCAAGTTTCCCACTCCAGTTCATAAGCCCTCTCGTACCTCTGTCTCTTCATAGTGCGTTCCACTATAGAGTTGCTCCTTTTTTCTTCAGTGTGTTTCGCAATTGGATTACTTTTTTCCTATTTTCTAATATCTGATATTACTGCCATCATAGTGGTAAGCGCTTTTGCTCCCGTTGTTTCTTCTATCTTCTCTAAATATCAATATCAGAATCAAACGGGATGCATTGAGCGACCAAAGGACGAGTTCTGGTCTTCGCTTGAGGGGAACACAGCTGAGAAACCGCTAGGAGACGCTGTCATTGTCGCTGGCGACCTAAACGGTCACGTAGGCGCTACGAAAGGCGGCTACAGCTGTCATGGTGGTTTCGGTTATGAGTCACGTAAGGCCAATGGCGACCAACCGTCAACCGTCCACTATGCAGAGGCACATAACCTGGTCATCGTGATTCTAAAGTTCCATTAACGCGATAAAAACGTTCGGTGGTTCGCCAATTTTGCATCACGATAAGAGCTCCACTACATCAGCAGAGTGCACAACGAAATTATTCATCAAACTTCAAACTTGGGTAATTAAACTCGTACAAAAAATAATCGAAAAAGGCACACACGAGAAGGCATCTACATTAATCCCAGTAACGATAGCCGAATAAGAGACAATCATCCTAATCAGTGATATGAAGAGAAAATAAAGCCTAACAGTGATATGAAGAGAAAAAGTAAAGGCCTAAGAGCGCCGTCGTCAATCCTAGAATAAACTTGAGCAAATACCAACGTATTTATTCATTTTATTCTGCGTCGGCGTTTGACTTTGCTAGATGCGCGATACCAAAGTAAAGCTTGTATCAGATCAAGAAGCGTCACAACATCATTCTTTTCCTGAACATGACAGAAAAAATTGATCGAAGGGATCGCGGTACATCCGCGATACTCCCGGCCCGGCGGTCTTCTAGTTGTGGAGAAGGCGCATTTCGTGTTCCAGAAATTCGATTCTCTGATAAGTGTCTTCGAGACTACGCCGTGCCCTTGCTAACCTTTCCGCGACTTCCTCACTTCTGTCAGGTAATTCGCATAAGGCGGAATGATGATCAAATTCCCCGCAATGGAAACAACGCGCATAATATTTTGGACATAGCTGTCTTCCTTTACAATTCTCCAGGCACTCCACACATCTATCTCTGTCTTCAATCATCTGGCGGCGTTCCGTGACAGATGTTATTTCATCGCATGAGTCCGAGTAGTGTCTACCCACTGATCTGCAGAAGGCGCAGCGCATAAGTCGTTTCCGCATTGTTGCTGATTGCTCCGTACCCATACCTTCTTGGCGGACAAGTGGGGTGCTGGCGCAATTCGTCGATGATTAGGCGAAGATTATCGCGGGCTTGTTTTAGCTGTTGGAGTTCCTGTTGAATATACTCTCTCCTGTTGCCGTCCTCCTCTCGCAAACGTTCCCGCAAGTTTGGTGGTTCCTCTTCTTCATTTGCTTCGGCCTCCTCTAACTCGACTCCTCCTTTCTTGGTCGTGCACCGCTATGTCCTCCGGCCCGAGTGAAGGTGTGACTATGGGCGTATTTCCATGAGGGATTGGTGGTGTGTGTGAGCTGTTGGAGTTGATCCGTAGCCACCATTTCGATCTGATCTGGTTGAACTAGAAGTGGGAGACCCATATCGTTGCGGTGGGGCCGATCCATCCATGCGTCCCATATATCCTTTGTAGTATTTCCCGCAGCGCACAACAGAGCAGGAATGGTAAATAAGGTGCGGAGTTGGAATCGTGTGAAGGTCATCTCAATGCGCAGATTTTCCACAGAGAGTTCCAGCAGTTCAACGTTATGGAGACGGTTGTCGTAGCTGTCGCTTGATCGGCGGAGAGCGTTGATGCGGTTGTTCAACTCGGTCACTCTTGTAGTGCAGGAGTTGAAATTATGGCAAAGTTTGATGATGTTTTCATAAAGTCGCTCTGGTTCGGGGAGAGGAAGAGGCTTGGCGCAATTGTATCAATTGCTGTGGTTTCTCTCTAGTGCTTGGCGGGTGCGAGTGAGTTCTTCTTCTGCCTCCTGTAGCTGACGGCGCAGATTTTGCTCCATATTCCTGAAAGGAAACAGGGGATACAATAGGAAAGATGAGCAACTTTTGTTTTATTCTTAAAGGAACTAAGACTATTTGCGTTGTCTGCGCATATGGATCTTAGCGATTGTTGATGACTAATTGTTTTATATACTGGCGCCTCGCAATCTAACTACTCCGTGATCGTATATTGATTATCGAGGGTGACTAAGCGCTCTTTTTGTTGTTTCTTTCCCGACGCGCATATCGATCTCTAAGGACGCCTACTAGCATAAAGAGTGTGCGCATAGGAAAACAGCTGATTGCCCACACTGTGCGTACGGCAAATGTTAGAATGCGCATTCCAATGGCATTTAGACATAAGTACGATATTATTAGGGCTAGTACGACCGCTATTAGAGCTATCAGCAAGGTCTTATACCATGTAAAGATGACGTCGAAGATGTGTCCAAAGTCGGGCCACTGGAATTCACGGTAAATGTTGTTTTGTCCTTCCACTGGTGATAGAAGCGGAGCATGAAGAGTATTCACATATTTTAGAACTCCAGTGAGCAGAAATTCGCTGCTATTCAGGCCACATGTAATGCTGCATTGCAATAATTGTCGTGCTGAGTCGAGGTGAAATCTTAATGTGGATTCAGGCCCTTGCGCTGCGCATGGAATTACGAACGCATGATGTCCACATAGAACCTCACCCGTGGTTTGGGTTTTCGAAAAGCAGCGAACTATCGCATATGCTCCTTTTGTGCAGTGATAACACCCTTGCAAAGGAGCATTGTCCACTGTACATATCTCGTCTTGAACTATTTCGAGAGCGGTGTCAATTGTTTGGTTAAAGGTGATGATGATTTCGGATGACACCATATGCAAAATTTTTGCAAAAAGAGAGGAATTTCTCGTGCGCATTAGTTCCCAAGAAGCTGTTTTGACAGGGATTTTTAGTGGGAGTTTGTGAAATTCCGTCTCGATGTCATCTGAGGGACATTCGCAGATCACGGTAGCTTCTGCCCCGGAACAAGTGCACTTGTCATCGATTGTGCAATTCAGGGACTGAGCATCATTCCATGTTTGGCAGCGCAATGACGGGGAAAGGGTCCCACTCCAAATAGAAGTATCGATCCCATCTGTGATGAATTCTCTTGCAAGCGCTGGTGTAGGTGGTAAGGAGAGTGATGTCAGAACGATTTGAAGAGGAGGAATGATGATCGGAACATTAGGAATGGAAGATATCACGAATCGCGGACTGCCTAGCGTGCTGTTCATGTTTTCTATAATAATTTCTAACTTCAGTTGTTCAGGTCCAGCGCATGCAACGGAAGATTTCGTAGATTTTTTTGTGCTACGTGGAGTGGCAAAAATACGATAAAACAAACAGCCCGAACTCGGATAAAAACAATCGCATCCCTATTCCTCCGCAAGACTCTAAACATCCAGTACGGCCTGGGTGGTTGTTTCCTTCGTTTAATTCCTCAATCAAACTGGAGCTATTGATTGCTGCGCATTTCAAGCCCTTGCATGTACCCATATTAGGACAGCGCTTACTGCTAATCACGTGGAGGTTCGTAGCGCGTGTGAAATATAGGCTTTCTTGTTCGCAGCGCAGATATAGTCCTTGCCAACGAACTTTTACGTTCGCTACTAATGTCGAATTCCGAGTTAGACGCAAGCAAGCTTGTCGTTTAAACGAGTTGAGTTTTCAGCACTTCTGTAAGCGCAGTTGTGCATTTTTCGACTCCATTCACCGTTCGGCATGTCGTAGAGTGATGATCAAGGATGTTTACCAGTTGACATGCGCTTGCGCTTGCGCAAAGGGCTAGTAGTACAGCGAAGTGCTGCTGCTAGGCGCTCGCTTGTGAAGGAAGACCTTGTTTTCTTCCGAATTTTACGGAGCAAACTCAGAAAACAAGATCCTAGAAGGCGCAGAACGAAGAAGAGACTTGTACGTAATCCCATCAACATAATCCGAATTGGCTTCCCGATGGTCATAGGTACGTAGAGTAAAAGATAACAAATAGCAACAAGACTGTACAGAATGAACGCCATCGTTACGATTGCTCGTGCTGGCCAACATTCCGGATTGAGAAGTACGGATGCGCATATCCAACAGTCTATATTCGAGCAAAAGTCTATCCCTTGACATACCGTTGACCTCGTAGCAAGTTGCTGCTCTGCATGCCATTTCAGGACAACGTTGTGATCATGAAGTGTGATTTCAGGTGGAAATTTCACTAGTTGTTGTCCCTTTTCAACATGCTGTACTCTACAAAAGTTTTCCGCGCAAACCTGTATTTCTTGAGCAGTATTTGCCTGTATTAGGACACCATTTTTCGTACAAGTCAACCGCATCTCGTTAGTGCTGCAGAGCCCAAAAAGAGCTAGCAGCATAAGATGGAAGAGGAACCATCCCGGAGAGCGAGAAACTGGTCGTTCTACTGCGTGGATTACGTTTTGTACACGACGCGCAGGTCGAGGGCGCAGATTGTATCTGGATTCTGTCTTCTGTGGAGTGGTTGTAGTGTCGTTGACGGAGTTTTCTTGTGCTCCTGCAGACTGCGCATTTTTTCTACTGTCTCGTATTTCCAGGGGGATTAGAAGGTTTACTGGTCGGCGTATTTTCCTGTTGTTCGCTGTCCTGAGTTCAGCTTCGCGGATTTCGCCATCGGTGCCGTGTTTTAAGTCGGTGATGCGCGCCATCTTCCATTCGTTCCGTGGAAGAATGGGGTCGTTCACCAGTACAACGTCTCCCACCGTGGGAATTTCACACCCGAGCCTGCGCTCCAGAATGACCCGTTATGGGTTTCTCGTAGCGATGTGAGATACTGGCTTTGCCACACTTTCCAAAACAGCTCTGTTTCTCTGCAGGATGTGCGCAGCGCTTCTACCACTTGCTTGCGGTATTGCATTGCACGTGTCTCTTCCGATAATTGGGTTCATCGCTGTCGGGGCCCTCGGGGAACGCAAGCGTCAGTGAAATGTTGTTTTGCAAAAAGTCAATAGGACGAATGGAGACCATTTCCTCTTGTTCCGATGATTGGTAAGTAAGGGGCCTTGTATTTAGACAGGCTTCAATCTCGGCAACAAAGGTATGTATGTCGTCAAATGAGCGTTGTCTCGCCCCGCGCAGAGCTTTATAAATCGAATGTTTTATCGATTTTATCAGGCGCTCATAAAATCCCCCTTGCCAAGGCGCATAGGGTGTGATGTGGTTCCACTGGATCTCCTTACTGGTTAAGGAACGGAGGACGTCCGTATTTGGATCACCTCCCTGATTTCGTAAGATATTAGCGCTGAGGAGAAAGGTAGGCGCATTGTCGCAGGTAATGGATTCAGGGACTCCTCTGCGCGCAACAAATCTCCTTAATGCGTTGATGAACTCAGTCGTGGCCATGCTTCTTACGACTTCGAGATGGAGCATCCTAGTTACTGTGCAGGTGAAAATGCATCCATATAACTTCTGCTCCTCATCCTTTTCCCTACATGATGGCAGATCGAAAAAATCCAGTCCCGTATGTTGGAATGGACGACATCGAAGAACCCGGCGGCGGGGCAGATCTGATGTGTCCGGATAGCGGTATGGTAGCGCATTGAATCGTCGACATGGTATACAGTGTTTAATCACTGTTCGAACCTGCTGTCGTACTTTCGGAATCCAGAATCGTTCACGCACAGTGGCTATTGTATGCTCAATACCTCTATGGTAGGGGCCATGTGCATCCTGAATAATCTTCTCCGCTAGCGCAGTATTCGGCGCAACAAAGATGGGATTTTTGGCGTCCTCGCTGAGTGCGGACCGACCTAGTCTTCCCTTTGAGCGCCATATTTTGTTTTCGTCCTGATAAAGTCGCAAAGTATTTTCCATGGATTTGCGATATTCTTTAGTCGCATAAATAAGCTGATGGTTGCGAATCAGCACAAACTTTGCTGCGCGTATTTCAGAACCCTCCAAAGGACCTATAGAGTCTTTGATATTATGTAACTCAGGAACATGCGCTAAATTCGTGTCTTGAAAGTCTCACACTTGTTGCGAAGAAGCTTCTTTATGAAACGAAGAACGAGCGCTGTGATTCTCTTCGCAGCAGTAAGAGAATTGTAGCGGCTACCTTGGAGAAGATCGCCAAGTCCTGTGCTTTCTCCACAACAAACATTTATATTTGCGGTTTGTCCATTCTCGGATTCCACAAATGTAGGCGCATCGTTCCGTACCAAGAGTAGGTGGGATTGGACCACTGTTGTATCGGTGTGCGCAAAAATGGTGGTCCGCTCCACCAACAATGGTCGGTGATTTGTTCCTTGGTAAGTCCTCGCGTACCGGCATCCGCCGGATTTTCTGAAGTACTTATGTACCCGAAAACTACCGATATTGAGACGTCTTCCAGCTGGCGCACAATACGACGTATCTCGCGCAATCTGTTTTCTACCAATACTCCCAGGTTAGTGTGACGAGTTGAAGACAGCCAACTAAGCGCTATTTGGGAGTCTGAGAAAATGTAGATAACGACGGGATAAGCTAAAGCTTGTAGTTTGAGTGCTTTTGCTATCGAAAAGGCAAGACGCGTCGCTAAAGTGAGTGCGTTCATTTCCAGCTTTGGCATAGTGGTTTTCGCTTTGATTGTTGGTAACTTGCTCTTAGCCATTACCAGCGATGAAGTGTTTCCATTAGACAGATAAGCGCAAACAGCCATAGCTACTTCACTAGCGTCGGCGAAAATCGCAAGATTGTGTTCCTCGGTGTCAGCCCAAAATCTCCTTGGAAAGGACTTATGACAATCCATTGATATGTCCCATGATTTCAGTCCAATGGCTGGCGACCTCTATGGGCAACTTTGTGTCCCAATCGAATTTCTGTTTCCAAAGGTCTTGCTGGAACTTTTTGGCGGGCATAAGTAACGGAACAAGCCACCCTAGTGGATCGTATATTGACGCTATTTGGCGTGCAACGGTGCGCTTCGTGATCGTATCGATTGGAGTCAAGGAGCAATGAATTTCCAAGCTATCCATCCTCACGTTCCAAGGAACTCCTAGAACTTTTTGTATTGAGGCTTTGGCGCATGCAGTCTCCGGTAAGTGCTGACGTAAAGTCTCGTCATTGGACAAAAATTCTCTCAGATTCATGCCCATGTCTTCGAAAATTTTGCGCGCTTCCAAAGACTTCCTGCTCACTTCATCCGATGTCGCAGCGGAGAGAATGAGGTTGTCTACATACAGGTTCTCTCTAATTTCGTTGGCTAAGTCTTCATTTCTGACGGCGCTTCTCAAGTGGTGATGAATAGTTGCGCCTAGTAGATATGGAGACACATTTAGTCCAAATGTTACCCGAGTAAACCGAAACGTCGCCACGTTGTCCTCATCAAATGGCGCATTTACATCACGGACCCATAGAAATCGTGTGGCATCTCTGTCAGCCTCGTGTAAGCGCACTTGCAAAAAGGCTTTCTCGACATCTGAGATGATTACGTACTTAGGGATCCTGAACCGCAACAACATGGCGTACAGCTCCGGAAGAATGAGAGGACCTTGGTGGATGATGTCGTTTAGAGAAGGATTATCTCTAAAATGCGCTGAGGCGTCAAATACTATGCGCAATTTGGTAGTCTCCTTATGTGGTGTTATAACTGGCTGATGGGGTATATAGTGGATAAGAGCACCATCAGCCTGGTGGGAGTTATCAA